ACCGACAGACCGACAGACCGACAGACCGACAGACCGACAGACCGACAGACCGATAGGCCAGCCTACCTGAACACTTACCCGCCTACACGGTTCCATACCTGTCTAGCTATCCACCAGACTGCTCTACACCCGCCTACATCGGAACAGGCACGTATTCATTTGTCGCTAAAGTAGGCCGAGGATAATATCTTTGAAAATCTCTCCTAAATAAGCATAAACTTCTCTCCTCTCGCTCGGGCTGTGTCCACAGAAGGCGAAATTGGCCTAGAAATTGTCCTCTTTATGCCTTACGAGAAGTGGGCACTCAACTCAAACTTCAAAGTGTGCAATAAGTCAACAGTACCAAAATTCTGTTCTCCTTATTCCAAGAGAAGCTATATCCAGGCCTAGGCAGTGACTCGGGGCCCGGCCTACACCGGCAGAAGGGACTCGGGCGAGGTCTTCCCTCCATGCCAATCTGCTCATTTCATTGTGCGTCCACAAGGTCTGATTGAGCCTGGATCGCCTAAGCTGATTCGTGGGATGATTGGGAGTGCTCCACAAATCGGATGAATAGGCCTCACGAGGCCAGAGCCGTCCTGACTGGGTTCTATCGCTTAAGCAAGCAGGTATTCGCCATTGCATTCTTTGGCGCTACTTATTTTCGATGTAAGTGGGCCGCACAAAGTTAAGTGATTTGAGAGTGGCCTCTGAATCTGCACCTCCTTACCTGCAGCCATTCATGAGCAAAGAGGAGCTTTCGTTGCAAATAAAGACCAGTTGAGATTGGTGGACGTTTATGTCAAGAGATTAGGAAGTTTATCTTATTTTCCAGGTCAGAGAGATCTGTTAGATGATGTTCCTTCGACAGCCCAAACACTTAGTCAGGCTTGAGTGAAATGAACTATGGCTAGAAAGTATTGTGAATATTTCAAATTAGTTCTAGCAAGTTATGAATTTGCACAATGTTTGTTCATACCCTACACATGAGTCAAGAAGGCCATTCATGAACAGCGAAATTGTTCTCCTGAGCAGTCGTGTATTTCGGTCCGATACTCCCGAGCATACTTGCCAGCGTAAAATAGTAAAGGGCATTTAAATAATTTATTCGGGACATAAATTGTCTAAAGAGGCTATGTAAAAATGGTAAAAATTACTCTAGAACTCGATTCTGCCTCACTGAAGAAATTAATCTAGTGTTAACGAAAATTCTGCGAAAGCTCTGCTTCCGCCCTCCCACTTGTCCACTGATCCAACCACTCATCTAACGACGTGCCCACGGGCGTGCCTACCTCCTTCCTCCTACCGTCCTATCTACCACTCTCCCATCCTCCTATCGAGCTATCCATCCACCCACCCGCAAGCCCTTACGCCGAAAGCCCAATATCTCCCCAAATCGGTTCCTCAGTCCTCGCTGTGTCGGACAGAAACGGGACTCCATTTCACTTTCGAGCCTAGAATCCCCGGCCTCATCGATTCTTCTGCTCCAGCGGGCCAGGAGTTGTGCCGCTGTCGTGGAAGGCAGCCCCCTCCGCCGAGCGGCGGTAGAATCCCCGTTTTCCCCAATGTCCCACAACTGGTCACTTGTTCGGCGGACACGTACCGGCACAAAAGTGTCGCAGGGCGAAATCTGGCAGATGAGACGGTCGGCTATTTTCAGATCCCCATGTTTGCTTAAAAAGATTGGCTCCATTTAGACAGATATTTCGTATAAAGGCCTGAGAAGACTTATTATCTGGGGGCTTGATCCATTTCACCTTGACTCGGGAAACTTGGCTAATCGTATCTGGAATTCCACTAACTCCTCGCCACGGGTCGTTTCTTCCGCAGGAAAAGTTTGCCGTTCCCTACCTTCCACCCCAAGATGGGCACTGTGATGTACAGTTCAGGCATCCGAATTTGGCTTGGTTGCAGACACCACCGAGGTGGTTAGTGTCGGCGTGTCAGTCCACTTGTCGTAAAGCATCGTAGTTCTGGTTTTACGATGACCCTGTCGTGCCAGCTAGCCTTGAATAATGACTGGCCATGGTCGAAGCTCCCGCTCCGCTGAAAAACACGCACACACACCGATGGTCTAGTCTACAGTTCACCGAAGCGAAGCCAGCGCTACCCGGGCTGCAGCTGTGGTCACCCTGACTGCCAGTCCCTCCGAGACGAGGTACAGAATAAGTTGCATTGTGTAGCCAAGCCCTCCCTTTTCGATTGGGCCGTCCTCTTGAAGATACCATCGTAGCTGGCCCTCTGCCGAAACCGGACCATCTAAAATGGCCGTAAAGTGTGCCCCTCTTCTGTATCAACTCGTGTCTCATCCTCTCCGAGACTCGTGTCGCCTGGGCAACGCATTACTTGAGCACATATACGCATGTTCCGGGTACGCACAGACATCCCCACAAAGGTCTGGCCACCCAAATATGTGACTGCACTCTTGCCACCCCACATCTTCACTTTTTTTTTACTTTATCTTCCCTACCTCCTGCCCCTTCTCAACAACCAGCCTACTATTTTATCATTCGTAATATTTTATTTATTCATATCAAATTATTTGTGCTTTTACTCATCTTCGTCATCTGCATCACTGCCTACCTTTTCCTCGTCTCTAGTTCTCCTGGGCTACCTTACACATATTTTACTTGTGTGTCTCGGCCCAGCGAGACTATCAACGCCACCCACCTGTCTTGTGTTCCCCATGCTTGATGTAGCCGAACTGAGGCCTAATGATGGCCATCTTCAAAATCTGGCTTTGTCTGCTGCCTTGTTGGTGTGTCCTTTAGCGAGGTTTTAATAACCTGGACAACTGTCCGTAACTTGTGTACGACTAACATCAGTCCTGTTAACCTCATCTCTGGTCTTTATCCTCTCGCCAGTTCGTTTGCCTTACCTCTCTCCCCCTTCCGCCTCTTTCCCACTCCATTTCTCATTTTGCTGCCCATTTATAATTGTCTAGGTTGGAGTAACATAGTACATCAACATTCTGATCCCATCTATTCTTGGACTCCTTGTCCAACCGATAGGCAGCCTGGCCGTCCATCTATAGTCGTCCAATCAGCTGATCGTTTGCGTAAATCCACTCGGACAGGCCACTTCCTTTTCCACCATAGGTATCCACCTTCAGCCGTTTGCACTACGCTCCTCTCTCTCCACCTTTATTCTCTCTCTCATCTCGTATTCCATATATATATGCATATATTTAGTTTATACATCCATATATAATTCTGTATTTTCATGTACTTGTTTGTGTCTATCTCTTTGTGTATGTCTATCTCTGTCTCCACTACTTTATCCTCCTCTCTTCTCCCTCCTTTCTCTGACTGGGTGTCCAATTTGTCTAGTACACATGACCATTTCTCGATCCTGTTTGCCTACCCAACGGCATATCTACTTGCTTGATCGGGTGTCACCAGGCTCATTCCACCACTCGCGAGCGTGTCCAAGCGAGGTGTGTTTCTGTTTTATGCTTGTCTGTACATGCGCACCTGGGCATGCATGTCCTGAATTCGGAAAGCCTTGTCTGATAATCAGGTCATTCCGGCAGCCAATTGGAGAGTCGGGCTGACTGGTTGGCTTGGTGTAGTTGCCACCCCCCTTTTGTAGACAATACCCTTGGAGCCGCCCGTTACCGATGCGAGTCGTGGTTATCCCCCTTGCTTCTGGCGTTCAGTTTCTGCGGCTCGTCGGTGTGTGCCTGGTGTGTTCACTTTTCCTCAGCCCATCTATGCTGCAATGCGCGCGAATAAAAGGACATCTCTCCTCAAATCGGCCTCAGTGAGCATCAAAGACGTTGGCTCTTAGTCTTCTGCTTCCATAATGCACTTTTTCCCTCACGCCCACCAACTGGATTTTGTGAACAAAACTGTAGTAAAAGCAGATCACCAAGTCCTGTGACGTGATGCCTACTCAAACTTTCAATAAGCGCGCCTGGATGAATTCGCAAATTCACATGTTTATTCGCACACAGACACACGTCTACGCCTCTGAAGGGAAAACTCATAGGGTCTAACCGCTATGGCAAAGCATCAGCATCTCTTGGATCCGAGCTTGGAAGCCTCTAAACATGTCACACTCGGCCTCAGTGAAACTCCAGATGCTCTACCCGGCCTCGAATTCTTCCAGTTGAGACGATATGATTTCATCGCGAATATTTGGAATCCGGAGCGTTCGAGGGAGCTGATCTACTCCAGGGGCTGTTTCCTGCGCGCGAAGATCTGGATGCAGCCATGGTAAGGGCTATTTATTAAGATGAAAATTCATATTCACTAGCCAAAACATGTTCCTATGTATATGCACTCTTTTATGCTATTAGAACCAATCTGAACAATGTGTGACCCTATTTTACTCATCTTTAAGTGTCCTGACTTTGTAAATTAAGCCTGCTATGCCCTTCCTGCATCGAAATTAGAAAGCTTGGCCCTACCTCAAACACAAATAGACTCCCAATACATTTAGTCTAGGTACTAGTTTGGAGAAGATTCATAGTGTCTATTAATTTATTTATTTATAGCTATTATAGAAGATTGTGAAAGTAGGGACAACCCATTTAATCGTGATCTCGAGGATCTCATTGCCAGAGTCTCCATCTGCTACGTCATTTCTCAAGCCTGACCATTTCCCCAACCCCCTTCAATATTAGGACGAATCTAAAAGACTCCGAATTACTTAAAGGGTTCGTGTTGAAATGATCATTAGAAGAACGGAAAGCTGGGTGTTTTAATTTAAGGATACAGAAAGAACTGGCCGGTATTACTAATTGATTGTGGCTAATTTGTGAGTCATCGAGGTCCACTTTCAAATCTCTTTTGGAGTGGTGATGAGGCCCGAGCTGGGCCGCAATCAGATAGCAAAACTTTTGAGAGGTTAAGGCTAAGTGAACTTTAGGGACATAACCGAATCTTCCATTCATTTCATTGCAGAAAATTCAGCTGTCGAGACTTCCATCAACTTTTATTAAATCATCATAACCTCAGAAAAATGCTGATGATTAGATAAGATAAAAGGGTGGGAGGTGCCTCCCTTGACAGATGTTAATGCACACATAAAATGGCTCCAAGGGGACAGTTTCAAAGTGATCCCTCCAAAAGTTAAAAATATTAGGCTAATCTTATTTCTTTAAATAGGGACCTTTCTTTCTTCAAGTCTTCGGCTTCAGTAAAAACTTGCACCGAAGCCGATGATGGGGATGGGAGTTGTTAGGGATCTGATTGACAAAAAGGAGGTATATGACAGTTTTCTGTTCTTAGAGGACAAAAAGTATGGAGTAAGGACTAACGTCCCTATTTCGTTTGTCCGTCTTGCCAACCATTGTGAGACCAAAGAATGCCGATTTGCCAAGGCTCGCAGCGATTTTTTACCCGAATGGCATCACATTTTCGTTTTCAAGTAGGTCTTCGAGACCACCAGTAGATCTTTAATGAGAACTGTGTTCATCCTCTTTCGTTTAAGGTAGTGGAGGTCTAGTGGCTGAATTCTCCAATATTCATATGAGTAGGCCTCACGTCTCCATTGGTGAAAAAGTCTATGTGAAATTCAATGGAAACATGAGGTTTAGTCATATAAGCATGGGAAAATTCAAATACCCTGAACGAAATAGAGTGAATCGCATCTTGTTTCAATGGTTTCATTAACAATACGTTAAGGCTTAGCTTAGCCAAATCATCGAAATAACAGACTTATGCTGTTGTTGGCTTGGCATTTGGTCGTTGTTTTCGCTTCGTGCCATAGTGACTGCTCATTTTTTAATACCAGTTTTTGTCCAGCGGATTCCGGAGCATAACTATTGTCGAGGTGTATTAGTTTTGATTGGTTTTTATATTGAACTGAAATTTGACTTTGTCTACGATGAATAGAGATAAAGGCTTGGGTTTTACATTAAATTTATCTTTACAATACTTTCCAAAAGCTAGTGCTAATCGAGGGAAAAAAACTAATTTCTGGACAAAAGAATTTAAAACACTTCCTTAGTCTTATGTTCCCAAGTGTTCTACGCTGTAAGCGGATGATTCTATAGTATCTCAGACTAGGTCGGACATTACGAAAACTTCGCTGAATTTCATGGTTTTCGACTACTACGTAATTCTTTCCTTAGATTTTAGTTCACTTCATGAATTCAACGATGACTGTCCGATTCAATGAGATAGGTTAAGAGTTCATTCTGTCGATTTTATCTTTTGATGTGTAATCCAGAGAGGTGCACGTCGGCATTTCGTATCTACTAGGCAGTTAAAGGTACTATTTGATAAATCTCACATTGTGTATTGTCTGAAGAAGACTATTTTTAATAGATGTATTCACCCCATTTCGTTTGATAGTTGAATTTTGACACAATTACATGAGTAGGTCCCATGTTTTCAGTTAATCCCAATTAACCTTGCCTCCCAAAAGGTTTTCTAATTCAGGGTGGAGACTTGAGGCCTACTCTTATAATTGTGGAAAATTTTGACTACCAGAGCTTCATAACCTTTGACTAAAGAGGCTGAATATATCTCTTAAAACAAGATATACTAGTTGTCTTGAAAACGTACCTATTAACGAAGAATATAGAGCTTAGATTTGCTTTAACAAATTTTAATTAAGGCTATAAAAGGGATTGTCTAACTTTGGAGCGGCCGGATGGTCATATAGCTAAGAGAGAATTGGTCAACTGGCATTAAACGATGTATAAATGCTCAAGTGTCGCGACCAAAAATCCTGACAACTTAATCGATAAATTCTAAAGAAAAGGTCGATTTATTTATAATCTTTTGGAGCATCATTTGTTTTGTGGCAAAGATCTGGATGAATTATTTGATCAAAGTCAGGTTGCAAGTTGTCCCTTTTCGCATCTTTTTTATTGATTTGAAATGTACTGTTTGGATTACTGGCGAGCTATTTCGGTGCAATTACACAATATAAATAGTTTTAACCTTTGTTATACGTTTACTTCACATTTTTAGATGCTGACCTATTTGGTCATCATAAGAATTGAAAAAATGGATTTGATCGCGATGAAAAAATACAAATAATTTTTGATAATACATCATCTTGATAACTGCAAGAAATAGACTGACAAATATTTCAAAGTTGATGGGTCAAATGGCCCGTAAGGAAAAGAGGTATGATTATGAATAATATATAAGCATGGGATGAATGCAGTAGGATGCTTGACAGGTAATATTATGATAAATATATGTGTATTTAAAATTTTACCTGGGCGCCGTCAGAAAAATGAATTTTAAGATAGTGCTGGCAGACCTATTTTGTTATTAGCACAATTTTGGCCAGCAATTCCAGTTGCAAATTAATTTCTCAGATGCACAATTTGGGCTACTAATTGGAGCTCCCATTTGAATATAATAATATTTTTCAACTATTTTAAGCAGGATTGGCAGGGTCCTCACCTCTAGGTTACCGCTTGGATTAATTCCAAGGCTTGCCCCTCGAATTAGTTCGTATTGAAATTTGTATTGAATATTTGTGTTTAATTTAGATTTAACCGATTGAAAAATTAATTGTATTTACCAATCGCGCATATTCACAATTACTAAGGCTCAATCTGATATTGTTTTCCAGTTTGTTCTCAACCACGAGTTATAACTCGATATATTTGAACTTTGCTGGACTATTGAGTTTATAAAACTTAGGGTTATAATTAACTTTGTGTCTCTCCTTTCTCTTCTATCAATCAGCGATTTCATTCATCACATACAGGTGTAAAGCATATAGGTGTCCAGTGCTAAAACCTCAGTTCGTTTGCAATTAATGTTGGACGGAATTTCATTTTCTGCCAAAAAGAGTTTTATAGGCGGCCTCAAAATGCTATATCAGAGGATTCACCAATTCCAGTTTCTCTTCATATTTATGGGCTACACTAAATCCTGGTTTCAATGAGTATTCCTCGACCCCAGATTCTGTAGTCATATTGTTTGGCTTTAATCAGAATAAGAGTAATCATATCTATTTGACTAGGCTTGATCCACCATGGATCCGGAGGTTTCCGAGTGCAACCGTATATAAATTTTGTCTCATCCTTTTACGATAAATCAAACCCGCCTACTTAAAATGTGATACGGCTGGACTCGCTTTTCTTCCCGAATGAAATGTAGGGTTTGTAAAATTCCTCCTATACATGCTTTTGAATGAAATTTTCTAACCATTTTATACAGTTTTAGTATTATCTCCCTCTGGGTCTGTGAATATTTTAACCTCTGTTACAGACTATGCCGGCTTCAAAAATTTTACTTGTCTGATATCAGAGGCACATTTCAACTTGTTAGTTAGGATTCTATTTAGTCAGGCTTAAGGGTTAAAGAATAAAATACATCAGTGAAGCACGACTGGGTTTTGGGCAATCCTCCAATACTTTAATTTCATGTACAAGTTGAATGAAAGGGGTTACTGAATTTGTCTCACCGGAAATCGAATGTCAGTGATTCTTTTGCAATTGAGATTGTTGATTTGAGCGTAGCACTTCTCGGTTTCTCGCCCCCGACACTGATGAGTTCGTTTTAGAGAATACTTTCTCGATTTGACGATGTCCGTAATGGCAGATGGATCACAGTTTTAGTATGGTGTACCGATGGCTTCTTTGTCCAAATTAACTGTCGCAACCTCAAGACAATCATCCTCTTTTGGGTTCCGATGAGGCCAATTTATAATATCATCAACCTAGTCTTTCGAATAAAAGCTTTGTCCATTTTCATGATTTAACTAACTCTAAAAGATACTGCTATATTTCCTTGATGGATTATCGACCACCTGTCCTTGATTTAGGTTGAAATAAGGTGTGTTAACACCTTTGGAATTCGACCCGTTTTAAATTGCATTAGATTCTTGGGGCTACTCTTCCAAGCTTTTATGGTTAGCAAAACCACCTGATTAAAGTTTTTGACGATCTTGTTTTTGCAATATTCTATAATTCGAAACAATCGTATTTCGGCTTGCCCAAATTTTCATTCGAAGTAGAATGTCCAATGACAAGATTTCGTCAAAAGTTAAAGTTTGCTAGACACGAACTAGGCATATCACTACCCCCATTTTACAATGTCTTTCTTGTTAATTGATTAACCTTTATGGTTTGACATACCAATAACTTCGTTACCGAGCCCTCCAATCTTATGGCTTTTGGATAAGTCATTTTAACTTTTTTTTCGGGTCTTGATTGTTCATGCTTTCTTAAAGTAGTCGAATCTAAGTATAATGACAATGAATTAGATAACTCAGGGATAGACAATTAAAACAAAACATTATTGTCTATTTTATATCGATTACTTTACCAACTAGGAAATGTTTCTCAGGTATTTTGTGGGTAATCCTCAGTTCCTTTAGGACTTAAGACTTAAGTTATTTAAAC